TCTGCATTCCAGTTCCTGGGGTGAGAATTGGGAACTCGGCACTCCTGTGTCGCTGTGCAGTCTGCAGCAAGGTCTATGCTTATGGCTTTTGTTTGTTTGTTTGTTTGTTTTTTGTTTTTTTCAGTAAATTTGTCTTGTATGGGAGACTGCTTGGATTCAGAGTGGAGCAGAGTCAGTGTACATATTTACTTCACCACCAGAGTTATTGATGAGCAATGTGTAATTTCCAGTTCTTCCAGTAAAGGCTCAGGTCTAAGGACATTTTTAGGAGGAAAGCTGGGAGGCCACTGCTGCATTTGTCTAGTAAGCAAAACAGATTTTGAGTAATTTAGGTTGGTCTAACCTTTGTAGCCACAGAGGCTGAACTGAGCTTCAGGGACAGCTCTTGCAGTTGATAACTCCTTTAGAGCCCACACAAGCAACCTTCCTCCTCTGCCAGACAAGCCCGGTTGTGCCTGCAAGGGGAATGGGAATTTAGACTGCTCCCGACTACTGCAGGAGGGTGGGAAAGCATGAGGAGCACTGAATGGTGGTGGATGCTGCTGTCTGTCAGGTTGCAGTGCACAGGAGGAGGTGTTTGGGGAAGCAGTTCCTCCCTAAACAGCTGTACTCCCACCTTCTCTGGGAAGGGGAGAAGTGACAGGCTGAATGGAGTCATCTTGTGGACTGACACTGACTGGCAAGTTACCTGTTGGATCTTGTTGACTTGACTGATGAAGAAGGAAGCAACTGTAAATGCACTTGCTAATGGATTTAGTTTGTGTCTTTGTGGGCTGCTCTAGGAAATGTTGGTTTGGGCCCGTTAATCTACAACCTGTTACTTATTTCTTTGGAAAAATATGGAGCTGGAAAAGTCAGGATTATCACCATTCTGTACAACATCTCTGCCTGAGCAGGTGGAGTTTTTCAGAATCAAGGCATCCTGATTCTGAAATTAGAAGGTGTACCCAAAGCTGAAAGCCTACTTTAAGATGCTGTGGTGACCTTCTGAGATGATGATGGCAATGATGTAGGGTTTTTTGTTTTCATTTTTTTTTACTGCTTTTGACAGGTTTATATTCAAGTTAATTCTTTGGCCTTTCTATAGGTACAGCAAATTGAACAGAAGTGGCAAAGGAGTTTCAGACTGTCTGCCTGAGGCATGTGTGCACATTGAGTTAAACATTTCCTAAAGCATTCCTGAGACTTTGACATTCATAAAGCTGGTTAAGATACTGTTACTTCAGACATGACCTCTTTATATTGATTAATTTATGGCTTACACTTGCCATAGTTTGCCTGCCAGGTTTTAAAACTAAGTATATATGCATTTCAGGTAGGTTTGGATAGATTAGATATATAAAGAAAAAAAAGTTTTTTTAATTGTGGGGTTTTTTTTTTTTTTGTGCCCTTTAAATCTTAACATTCCTGTCATCATAATCTGCCCAGATTAGAGGAGTAGAGGCATGAAAATTAATTTAAGAGTCAAGACAGAAGTTGAAAGAGGAAGGAATGTGCAATTTTATATTAATGAATATTTAATTTAAATGCCTAATATAACTTTTATTGGAAATTTTAAATTTTAACATGATTCTACCTCTTAAGGAAAGCGGAAGTGATAATGACAAATATATTCAAATGTTCCTTAGTTTATTTCCTTGTACTGGGAGAATTTTGCTTTTTTCTCACTGATCTGTTATCAATGTTTTTGTTTTTTTTTTTAAAAAAGTTGTTTTGAGTTCCCAAATTATAAATAAACTAAGTTAACAATGAATAGCAATGTAAATAACGTTTTTATTCTATAAATAAGTACACATCCTTTTGTAGTTTTTCATGGCAAGCACTGGATTCTAAGTACTGGAAAACAGTGCGAATGCCTCTCTATTTTATCTAGTATTTTACATATTTTAGTTATGAACTTTGTTTTTATTTCTGCCAATCGGAACAACAACTCTGTAATTCACTGTTACATGTACCAGTCCTGTCTTCGTTGACAGTTTCTGGTTTTACAGATATAAACTCCCACAGATGTTCATTTCAGTGAGGAGGAAATAGTCCCCTTTTATTTTTATACTGGTATGAAGCTCCATGAGAACGACCGAAGATCTACAGAATCCCACTTCACCAAGAAATACTCGAGAGCCTTGTTTTTTAACCCAGACACAGAAAGCAAAGGGGGTGACAAATCGTAAATTCCTGTATGGCAGGCAAAATTATGCTGAAGAGGCATCTGTTAACAAAAGTTTAAGTTGTGATAAATGAGAAATGTCTTTTTTGGAAGGAAGGGAGGCTTGTTTTTCTTTTAATGAAAGAGTTACTGGCATATCATACCACTGGCAGCAGTGGAATCTCTGTTTGTTGGCAGTTGCTGGGGGAACATCTCATTTTGATTTAAAGATTATTTTCTGCTTCAAACAAATTCCTGTAGTGGTTCCCATGATTAATGCTGCACAGGAGTGTAGCAGACCAAGTGATTTGCAGCCAGCCCTGCTGGTTTATAAACCACAGCCTTTTCTGCATGTGTTTTTTTTTTGTTTGTTTGTTTTTTCTTTGTTTTTTCTTTTTTTTTTCCCTGTACATCAAGGTGCTATGATTTTCTTTGACCCAAACTTCATTTTCAGCATACGTTCACTGCCTGTTGATCTTAGGTTTCACTTTTTTGATGTAAAAAATCATACAAATAATAAGCAACTTGTTGTTAGATATTTATTTTTAACCTGACCATGTGAGTGCTCAGTTACTACCTTTAAATGCTTTAAAATGATTCCAGTAACCATGGTGCTCTTACCTCCTGGCAGCTAGTGCCATCCTCTCTGAGTTTTGCTCTGAGGAGGCCCCATAGCTTTCTGCCTCACCTTGCCAGTGTATAGAAGAAACTGGCAGAAACAATTTAAATTTCTTGAAGTTTTCCAAGCTAGAAGGACTATTCTGTGATTTCTGTGAAGAGTTCTCCACTCTGACTTGTGAGAATCCCTGCGGTCAGCAAGGAGAGATCCTTCAGTCCTCAGGTGCTTCTGTGATGTCCCAGGAAACTGTTTCTGGTGCTTGATCCAATTATACATCCAAATTACTGTTTCCTTTCAGCCCCTAAGAATTTCCAGGAAAGTTTTGGGAGCCTGACAATATTTAAAAAACCTGAGTATCCTAAAAACTGCCCTGGAAACTCCTGGTAACTGATTGCGTAGTTAGGATATATGTACCCAGGCTGCCAGACAGGCTAAATCCTTCCTCGAACCAGAGTTCAGCTCCTGTTTGGGACATCTGACTGCCCTGACTCTCTTTCAGTGGGAGCAGAGGCAGCTCACGGAGCAAAGGGATCTCCAGACACCAAGAGCATTCCCACAGCCTTGGGGTGAACCCTTCATGACATCTCTTTGCTGGGCTGGAGACGTGGCAGGAGCTGCTCTGTTGTCCTTCCCCCACTCTCCAGCTTGATGCAAGGGTCTCCTGTGTTGTGGCCAACCTGGTGCTGCTGTATACTTTTGGAAGACAAAGTTGTCAGATTTCCTTGTCCTTTTGCTCCCACCAAAGGTGCACTGAGGGGCACTTTTAGGTGGTTTTGACAAGATCAGGAAATGGAAGAAAAGAAAGAAGTTTGGGCCACAAGAGCAAGCGCTCTGAAGTTAGGAAGTATCTGTGGATGACTGTGCAACGTGCAGTTTGGCCCAGACTTGCCAGATATTTGGGTTTCCAGTTAGCTACCTAGGTTAGCATGCTGCCGCGGCTGTTGGAGAATCTGGGTTGCTCTGGTGACGGTGAATGGGCAGGATGCCTCCCACAGTAATCCCGGCATGGCTCCGGGGATGGGTGGGAGCAGGCAGTGCTGCTCAGATCTGTGTTGTGCCAGATCTCCGATACAACTCTCTTGTGTTTTAGGATAAGAGCTTTTCAGAAGTGTTCCAAAAGGCTGGTTTAAGCCTGCAATGTTTTATCTGGAACTTTTCACATTTGAAGGGGGGTGGTGGGATGGGGGAAGAGAGAGAAAACCTTCTGTTGTATCAAAGGTGGGCTTCCAGGGAGCTCTCCGTGGACTCCTGGCAGCTCAGCCCTGAGGCTGCGATAAACCCAGTCCTGGGCACGATTTACTTTGTGGGTCTGCCTTAGGACTGAGACTAAAAGGATCCCACCTGCTTCTCCACACCTCCAACAGTCTTGCCACCTTTTCCATGCTGCTGTTGCGTTCGAGAAGTTCCAACCTTTGCTGAAATTTCAGACGTTTTTTAAAATTTTAAGTCTTGTTTGTACCAAAGCCAAACCCAAGCCTGCTCCATCTCCAGTGAAATTTCACGTGAACTAGAAATTGTGTTTGCTGGCCAGATCTGATAGGCTACAGTTTTCTGTCTTATGATGGCATAGTGTGTCCTTTTTTTGTCTCTTTAGTATAACTATGAGGCCATTTATCATAAGTTCACTGGTGGATGCTCATCCAGTCAGCTAAACCTCTTGGTTTTGACTTTACACCTCTTGATTTTATAACTCAGGTTAGCTTAAGGTATTCTTAATGTACTCAGATACATAGTATTTGGAAATACATATATATCAATGCCTAATGGCTTTAACTGTGTGTTAAATGATTGCTATTTGCTACTCAGTCTATTCTGCAGTTGTTTGTGGTGTTTCTTGTTGCAGAAATTTTTGTGTCCTCAGATGAAAATCATTTGTCCTGTGTCTTATTCTGGAGTTTAGCTATTGCGACCGTCAGCCTGATCTGCAAGACTGGCACAAGTAAAGCAGTTGCAGTTTAGCTGCAGCCTGTACATTTCTGAAATTTCTGCATTTGTTTTAGATTTAAT